TCTCCGGAGTTTTATTTTTGAGATTTCTCGCAGCAGCAGCAGCACTGATCTGGAATGCAGCCGGAGCCGGGCAGCAGCAGCAGCGCCTGTCCCTGTCCCCTTCCGGCTGTCCCTGTCCCCTGTCCCCCTCCGGTTGTCCCACCCGCAGCCCCCGCGCCGTCGGGTCCGTCCCGTCCCATCCCGCCGAGAGCCGCCGGTTGGGTTTCCCGGGGCGTGCGCAGGTTGACGGTCACAGCAGCACGAGTGGACTGATGGCAGTGAGGGGAGCGGGATGCCTTCACACCAGATTCGCTGGTCTTCGGAGGCTTTGGGTGTGCTCCCTCCTAACAACAGTCTTCAGACAAAAGATACAAGCTTAATTAAACTGAGTCAAATAGGTTTAAGCAGTTAAATAGAAACAACTTTTTAAAGTGCTTAAAGTCTGTTTGCTCTTTTTTCCCCTTTGTGTTTTAATCCTTTCAGATATGTTATTGTGTATAGATAAAAATACTTCCTGCTTAGGAATTTGCTAGCTAAAGCATTGTAATATTTTAGTGGTTTTTACTTGTCAGAACATAAAATCATATTTCTCTTTTTGTTAAAGTTTGCATCTATCAGAAGAAAAACCTTGCAGACAAACCCAGTAGACTGTATGAAATAAGATGGCCTATTTACTGGCAGTGCCTGTGGGTCCTGCGTGCCATCAGTTTCCCTTTAATAGATTTAATTCGTTAGGTACCCAGGAAAGAGCCACTCGGTCTACCTCGCGTGGCTTGTGCAGTGCAGAGCTGTTACCTTGGGGCTGTGGTCGCACAAAGGTGCACCCTGAGCCCGCCAGGTTAATGGCAGAGATCCCTTTGATTAGATCCAGAGACAGAGATGGGGAAACCCCATAAGTTCTTGGGCACTCGGCCTTTCTTTGGATGCTGTATGCAAATGTATTTACGTTTTCTTTTCCCTCCTGCCCATTCTGTGGCTCCGTCATTTTGCGGAGGAGCTGGTGACTGCCATTTCGCTGTACTCAGCTCAGACAAAATGGAGGCTTTGGAGGAGTCAGTAACTACCACAGCCTGTGCCTTCTCCAATTGGAGATAATCACCTTCTATAAAAAAGGTGATAATTTTGAGGATGGAAAAAAAGGCATACCCCATCCTAAAAGGCAGAATCTCCTTTTTTCCTGTGAACACGCGGGTGCAGTTGTGTTAATTTCATTGATGAAATGTAAATATTAATGCACCTTGCATTTTGATATATTGCCATAAAAGACACTGAATTTCAAATCACCAAGCCCACTGTGATACAGGGACGTCACGTAGCTATTCATCTTTATTTGAAGCAGCCCTCGCCCTAAAAGCTCACTTAGGGAGATTCCTGGTTGCCATTAGAAAAGCAAAATGAAATTAATCTAAATCATTCTAACTTCATCTTAGAAAATTAATGATGGAAGAAAGAGAGGGTTTATGAAGGTTTAATAGGAACTGGTCTGGAATACAGTGTATATTCTAGAGCCTGGGAGGACAGTGGTAATTTAGCAGATTGTATCACTGCCTATCTGTGCCAAAGGAGGTTTCACACCATTTGAAATGCATAGTGCTCCTTTCAGAGACAGGTTGTTCTGGAATAACTCAACATCCAGAGAAAAGCTGTGTTATTTCTCTCCTCTCTTTATCAATTGCATGTGTGCGGTTGCGTGTGTGCGTCGTCTTCTCCTCGGCAATAGCACCAAGTTTTCATGCTTGTTTCTGTGTTCAGTTATCAGCCTCCTCAGAGACAGACAATACCAAAAATGGAAAGTCATGAAATCTATTCAGAACAGTGTTTAAGTGCTGAAACCAGAGAGCCTGTGTAAAGCAAAGCGTGAATTGGTCCTTCCTCTAAAAGCTGAATTAAAATAAATTTGGTTTCGAACAAGTTCTCCAAAATCCTTTTTGTTTCTCATTTTGAAGTGTAACAAAACAGTGAGATAAGGACAAATCTTAGCATTTTTTTATCCAGCAAAGGCGATTTGGGAATCTCTAGACTGAAGGGATTGAGATTTGAATCAGTCACATGCCTGTGATGTTTCCAAGACTAAGGATGCAGGTCTCCCAGTGTGCAAAAGCATGAGCCAAGCTGATCTGTAGTTAAACTAAATAACTCACAGTATTTAAATTCATGCAGTGTATGATTCTCTTTGACTGTGCTGCCTCTCTCTTTTACAGGCTGTTTGCTGCTAAGTGCAGTGGCTGCATGGAAAAGATCGCCCCAACAGAATTCGTGATGAGAGCCCTGGAGTGTGTTTACCACTTAAGCTGCTTCTGCTGCTGCGTTTGCGAACGACAGCTGAGGAAAGGGGACGAATTTGTTCTAAAGGAAGGGCAATTGCTCTGTAAAAGTGACTATGAAAAAGAGAAAGACTTGTTGAGCTCGGTCAGCCCAGACGACTCAGACTCAGGTGAGCTTTTCCCACACCTGCTCCGACTGGAAGAGCCACAAGGGTTTGTAGAGCTTTCTTACAGAAAAGTGTCTCCAGTTGCACAGCCGCTTGATCTCTGTGCACGTGCCACCCATGCAAATTAGCAGGCACAGCTAAAAAAATCCCCGCTTGCAGCCTGCCCTCCCTTACTCGACTCTCTTTCTTAACTTGCTGCTTAGTAAAGGACAAAAACTCTGTTTTTGTCAAGGTATTTTTCTGTAAGATCACAAAATGTGAATGAGACTGACTTCAGCTACCTGAGACCTCATTCAAAGCTGTTTTCCACAGGCATCCTTCCATCCACTCTGCATTTTTCAGAGGATTTGCTGCACGTACGCCTTCAGCGCTGATCTAGGGAAACGGGCAAAGCAGTAACACGATTTTCAAGAGTGTTCTCTCTGCCAGTCACAAATGGTAACTTTCAGAAAATCTGTCAGGTAAAACACAGAGGTGCTGAGGAAAGACAGGAGAGGTGGTTTGTGCTGCAGCAGTAGCCGTGCAGGAGCCTGGGCAGCGCCCGCGGGGCGAGGCTGCCTGCGTGCCCAGGACCAAGGGCGACAGGCTCGGCACCTTGCTGAAACGCGTGCAGCTGATCTGCAGCACCTGAGCCGTGCGTCGCAGAGCCTGCACTGCTTGGCCTGGGAGCTGGGCAGAGCGTCACCACACTGTGACCAGAGCTCTCGCCTTCCCAAGAAGACAGCGGAGCCCTCCCACCCGATAGTGCTGGCGGGGCCGTCCCTGAGCTCTTGGCACGATGGAGACGCAGACACTTCCCTTCCTCCAGCCCAGGGACAGCGTGTGCGCAGGTTGCTGCCAGCCATCGTAATTGCGCACTTGCTTCCCAAGAAAATGTCTGAGAAAATCAGCAATTACCATTCCATTAAGCGAAATGACATGAATGTTTGCCTCTGGTTTTTGGGAAAATGCATTATTCCAGTTCAGCTAGGAGCAGTAATTACCTCTCATCTCTAATCTGAGAGCCGTGTTCTCCACATTGCTGAAATTCACATTTTATGTCAGGAGTGCTGCAGGAGGAAGGTCAGCGCTGCCTCGGCGGGATGTGCGGGGCCAGGGACCCTGGGAGCAGGGTGTTATCTATTGCTGCGCTGCATTTGCAGGACCTTGAGTGCCCCGCTCAGTCAGTCCGTGCTGCAGGGTTTGGGCTCTCGGTGAATTAGCCTGAGGCGTGCGAGGTTCCTACTTGCCCTTCAGCACGTCGTTCGGTCATCACCAGCTTCAGCACCCCGCTGTCCGTCTGTCTGCCTTGTCCGTGACAAACCCCCTTTGCGCAGCCAGGAGTGTGGCTGTCCCCATGCTGGGGGTGCGGGGACCCTCCTCCCGCTGTCCTCGCTCCCTGTGCAGGCGCTGTGGGCACGGCAGCTCTCCCCCGGGACCAGGTTTTGTATTTTGTATTTTGTGATCAGCAGCAAGCTGCCACAGCAGCACACAGCCACCTTGGTTCCCATGTCATTTCCCCTTGGCACAAGTAGTTTCTGACTCCTGGAGATGCTTTTTTTTTTCCTCATTATTCTCTGTTAGCCAAACCCAAACCTGAAAAACAAGTTGACAAATTAAATGGGATGTTTTGTCTCCCGTTGTCTAACACCCTGAAAACACAGGTCTCCCAGATGCCGGTGTGAGAGCAAACGATTTCAGTAGCCCCGGCTGAGAATGTGTCCTTCTCCAATCAAATATTTATCCACTGGACACAAAAGTAACTCTCCAATGAGCAATATTAATCCTCACAAACCTTTCCTTAGAAGTGGCATGCTGGAAAGTTAATAATGTCATGGTTATTAAAAAGACTGAACTTCTCTTTAATCATTAGGCAAAAGATGCTTATTAAAGTAAAAGGTGATTAGATTGCTAGGTGCATAATAATCAGACCCAAAAATTAATTAAAGTCTAATTTGTTAATTCCCCAAATGTAATCTTTGACTATATAAAAATTGCAGTGTGTTTCTTCATGTTGAAGTTCCTATCATAGTACATTAATATTTTCTGGAAGAAAAATCAGTAGTCTGGTGAAATAAAATATGCTGAGTTGAAAGGGTTTTTTTCACAACAAAATTTGTACTTCCTCTTCACCCTTTGCCACTGCGATTGAGATTTCCCACACGTAGTATCGCCAGACTGTAGGGATGTTCAGAACCTAACTGTACACAAATCCTCTGTTTGGTCTACACCAGCAGGTTTATACTGGTGTAGAAAGACTGAGATACACAGAGAGAGAATACGGATGTTTCCCGTGGGATGCAGAAATGAGATGGCAAAGGTTATGTTTGATATTACCCTTAGAGCTTCAGAATATTCAGAACAGTACCTGGGACCTGGGCTATATTTAGCTAAACAGACTTTGAGAGATTTTTGTGATATCTGCGTTTACACCGTTTGCTGCCGTCGCGGCACGGGCGGTGGTCCCTGCTGGTGCTTTGGGGGGAGACGCCGCGCTGCTGTGAAGGGAGACGCGTGTCGGCCGCTGTGGCCGCAGCAGGTGAGCGCACAGGAGCAGTGGTGCTGGGAGGGCACAGCGCCTCTCAGTCCTTATGCCTGGAAATATGGAAACAAATTCTGGATTTCCATCCCCTGACCAGTCCCGTGCCCTCAGTTCAGAATTGAACACATTTTCATGCTCTGTGGCGTTTGATGGAGGCAGTGCACACAGCCTGCGGCGGTCTCTTCCTGCCCGTCGTTTGTTTGGTGTTGGAGCAAACGCGGGCGATAGCTGAGCCTGCTGGCTGGGTGGGCAGCTGAGGAGCAGTTCCAAACACCCCATTATCTCAGTGGAACAAGGACAATTTTACATCCTGTTTATTTTTCACCAGTTAAAAGTGATGATGAAGACGGAGATGTTAAACCCACCAAAGGACAAGTAACCCAAGGAAAGGGAAGCGATGATGGGAAGGACCCAAGGAGACCTAAACGACCGAGGACGATACTAACCACGCAGCAGAGACGAGCATTCAAAGCATCCTTTGAAGTGTCTTCCAAGCCCTGTAGGAAGGTAGGTGCTTCATCAGGGGCCTGCAATCAGCTCCGGCAGGTGGCCACGGGGGTGACGGGGTCAGACAGCTCCCTGCCCCTTCCCCGGGCAGCAGCAGTATTTCTGAACACAGAAGCCAGGCCAGCGCACGGCAATGCTCGCCCCAGCACCGCCTCAGCCCGGAGCCGTCGGCAGCCCGGGGTCACTCGTTGCTGTCTCTGGATGTTCACCCGCAGTGGTGGAGCAGCTCCGTGGCTGGGTCCTGCTGACCAGCAATGTTGGGTTCCTATCAACCTGAAGCAGTCTTTGACTGTCAGGGCCCGGGTAGACAAGTGGCTTTGGCCCCTCTTCCCACTGCCCAGGGAGTCACCAGGGAGAGATGGGTGCTTGGCTTTGGTCCCACCGATTGTCCTTCCAGTCTCGCCTTTTTATGGCACTTAACCCTGCTGTAGATCTTGTATATAGCAGCAGGGGAAAGGTATAATGTATTGCTTCACTGATGAAGCTGGTGAAAATCAGATCTTTGCGAATAGCAGCCTGGGTAACTGTTTCTTCCTGAGCTTGATAGGAAAAAAATCCCAAAAAGCTGACATTTTTGCAAAAAGTGACATTTTCCCGCTGGTGTGCAAAGTATGTCTTTTGGGAGGTGGAATGTGACTTTTTGCCATTTTAAAATATGCCTCAACAATATTAAAAATGTTCATAGCCAAATTTGTATCTTTTTGCGCAGAACTGTTTTATGGGTAAAATAAAAATCATGAAATGCCTTGGTGTATTTTACACAGCTCAGACTGTTTGTTCAATACTCCTGAAACTGGTAGCGACACGAAAGGCAGAACTTGAGCAAACTATGCAAAAATATGGGGAATTCTAAAAAGTAATTCTGAACATGCAGTTTTTATTTTAAGTACAGGCATATTCCTCCTAATGTAACTGATTATTTTTTTAAAAAAATATTTAAAATTACACCATTAAACGTTTCCTCCTGTAGGTCAGAGAAACACTAGCGGCTGAAACAGGACTCAGTGTGCGAGTTGTCCAGGTCTGGTTTCAAAACCAAAGAGCAAAGGTAGGTTGTTTGTCAAGTTCTCAAAAGTAAAACACAACTTGTCCCCCAGCACAGATTTCCCCTTCCCCCAGATGTGGTACGAACCCCAGAGACCCCAGGGGCTTGGCTGTACCCATCTTCCAGGCACTGCTGCCCGTGTGTGTACGAGAACGGCAGCTTTCAAACACAGACATGGAGTTTGTGTGCTCAAAGCAACGCGAGGTTGGGGTAAATTCTGCATGTAGATATGAGCTGGAAACGGAAATGTTTAAGCGTAGAAATGTAACTGAACCTACAGTGGTGTGTGCATGAATATAAATGGTTTGTGTTCCTTGATTCCATGTTTGCAGAGAGTTTTGTATGGAAAGCAAATTGTTGCATTCAGAGCCATGAGAGTGTTCTGTTCTTCCTCTTTCATTCAGATGAAAAAACTAGCACGGAGGCATCAGCAGCAGCAGGAGCAGCAGAACTCGCAGCGACTAGGGCAAGGTAGGGGATCTGTGATGAAGGCAAAGGAAGGGGAAAGGAACCGGCCAGGTTTCTGGAAGTGCCATTCCCACAGAATGTCCCAAGTGCAGCCACACAGGGCACGCATAGGACCATGGATAAGGTGTGCCATCGTCAGTGGAAACACACGGAGCTCCCGGAGCTCTCCCGTGGGGCCAGCCCTGGAGGGGTGCGCACAGGAGCTGCTGCCTCCTTTCTAGGGGAAATGTGTGGTATGAGGTGCTGTCACTGGAAGAGACCTCCAGGAGCTCACTCCCGGTGGATCCCCCAGTTTGTTTTCTCCCGAAGAGAGGGGCCGTGCTCAGCTGGGCATCACAGGCTGCGTGCAAGGGCATCAGTGTCGCTGCCGCGGCGCAGTGACACCCTCCTGGAGCCGGACCCAGGGGCAGCGCTGCGCGGGGAACCGGGGCTCTCCCCGCTGCGCCTGGGATGCTCTTGGGGTTCTCCAGCTCCTGAGGCCTTGCAGCCTCAAATCCTCCTCTTTGTGCAGAGCCAGAAAAACCGGTACCAACATGAGTCAGAGAATAGCAGGGCTGTGTCACGCGCAGGACAGACTTTGGGAAGATACGGTCCAGCGCCCCGGAGGTCCAGAAATTATAGAGTCAGAAATTACAAGTCTTTCAACTCACTGCTGAGGGGTGTGCTCTCAGACAAAATTTGGAAGGCTCCTCTGAGTGACAGGTCATGCCCAGCTGCCTTCACCTGCGCTCGGGTTCCGTATTGCCGCTGATGCTCCTGCCTCCTTGTTCCTAAGCAGTGACTGTGCCCTCCTGTTTGCTTTGCAGAAGTGATGTCCAACCGAATGGAAGGGATGATGACATCTTACACGCCACTTGCACCACCGCAGCAGCAGATTGTAGCAATGGATCAAAGCAGTTATGGCACAGACCCGTTTCAGCAGGGTCTTACCCCTCCACAAATGCCAGGCGACCACATGAACCCTTATGGTAAGGCATGCATCATTCTGCCGCATCAGAAATAGCAGGGTTCATACGCTGGTTCACGCACCACAGGGTCAGTAGAGTTACTTGCTTTTATAATATTTTTTTCTGGGATTTGTACCAGGGAATTTGTACCGGTCAGTTTTGTGTGTGTATTTTCATGTACACATAAGGGGGTAGAAGAGAGCTCATCCCAAGCTCTGCACACCCTTCAGAACTATTTCACAGTATAATTCTGATAAATGAGAAACCAAACAGTGTCACCTTTCCAGCTCCACTTTTTTGAACCGCTATCCAAGACATTGAAAAATAAACAGTACCAAATTCTAGCTCCCTCACAAGTTTTTCCTTTTTCTTGTAAGCTTTGGGAAGAAAGTGCCTTGAGAAGTGGTCTAATAAAGAGAAGTAATCTATTAATTCCAAAATGAATAAGCAGCTCCCTCAGATCCCTCAGATTGGATGCATGGATTTGTTGCAGAACAGCTCTTGAGCTACTAAGAGATGTACCACCACAGGACATTTCTCCTGCATAGTTTTAGTCTCTGCCCAAAATGCAGATGAGGGTTTGCTCTCACGATTTCCTGACCACACACCATCAAGTGGACAGGGACACCAAACGCATCACACGCATTAAATGCCTAATAATTAATTCTGGACAATTGCAGTGTGGCATTTAAATAAAATTTAAGAGGATTTCTCAGCCTGTGGTTGCTGGCCTCGCTGTAGCCCACAAGGGTCAGAGTGGTTTCTGCTGACCAGGAGCTCTCCATTGCGGGGTCCACGTGCACGGGCCAGCGGGAGATCCGTTGGGGGTCTGTGTTATTGCTTTTCCTCCCGAGACAAGTCCCCGGTACACACCAGCAATTCGGTAAATCCTGTAAGGAGCTGAGGGCACCTGAAGTGCGAGTGAGCATTAGGTGGCTTGTGATCTCGTGGCTAACAGTCTGGTTGGCTTTCTAAGCAAAACCCCTTGAGGGGCCGGGTCTGTGCTCCAGATCGGTGCAGGAGACAGCACAAAGCCATTTCCAGTGGGTGCGTGGGGAGAAGGAGCTGGACTCGCTGCTCGGTGCTCGTGGGACGTGAGCTGGAGCTCTGTCAGCTCTGAGAGCTGGAGTCAGCCGCAACCTAAGCCGCTCAGGGAAATAGAAGGTGCTGTTCCTCACCAGCCCAGAAAGAGTGGAATTTTCTGAAATGGAATCGTGTTTACAACTGTAGCTCACTCGAGACCAGGGCGGCTGGGTCTCCTCCTGGGTCCTGCCACATTCGTAGATCCATCTTTCACCCAGTTGCAGACAGAGGCCGTTCCTGGTGATGGCTCTCAGAGCACTTTTCCCCGCCGCCGGTACTCGGTGCCTGGTCCCACCTTGTGCAGTGGCCGCGGTGCCCCCACAAATGCCGGATCCCAGCTCGCAGGGAGCCGGGGACCTGTTCCCCCCCCAGCACCGTTTGCTCCCATCGTCAGCCCAGGCGCTCTCGTGCTGCCAGCTGAACACTGATCCAACCCCGGCAGGTCGAGGGGCATGCTGCCCGCTGAGCTCTGCCCCTTGGCTGCGGGCCTCCCTCCTTGTAGGTCAGACCCTGACAGTGAAGTTGTGTTAACGTGTGAAAACAGCCAGGAGCCTTCCCTTTTGCAGTTCCCTGTGTACTGTGTCCTGCTCTGGCTGCACAGAGTCCAGCTTAACGTGTACGTTTCGTTTGCAGGAAACGACTCCATTTTTCATGATATCGACAGTGATACCTCTTTAACTAGCTTGAGCGACTGTTTTCTTGCCTCTTCCGAAGTTAACTCCATGCAGGCTAGAGTAGGAAATCCCATTGACAGGCTGTACTCTATGCAGAGCTCCTATTTCGCCTCATGAAAATAAAAGAGAACAAGCAGCCGGCGTTCCTTTAGCCAGTGACTTTTTCCAGTGCAGACTCTACAGCCATATGTTGCCCAGCTCTTCCTTCACAGTGACTCCCGCTGCCTCTGGACTGCAAAGAGCCTTTTTAGGAAGACTGTATCTGTGTGCGTATATGTGTGTGTATGTACCTACAGTGACACGGACCTACATACATACACATATATAAACAAACCGCATCCACCAGCCCTGTACCCTTGATTCCCAGCTTGCACCAGACCACGAGACAAGCACGGAAGGAACAGAAGACCCTGCTCGTCAGCAGCCTTTGGTTTGGTTTGAGCTCATCGTTCTAAAGGAAATGGATTTTGTGGAAAGCTAGACATTTTCCTCCTTTCTCTCTTCCTTTCTTTTGGATGTTTAAACTTTTTTTTTTTTTTTAAGCCACTGATACTGACATCAGTCAACCATATGACAAATAAATCAAAGAAACTGGAGATCCCTCCCTTTTCTTACTGCATGATTCATACTATGTTGTGGATAAATTGCCATTTGAACTGTGAGAAGTTAATGTAAATGTGACGTTCAGCATTTGTTTCCTTTCTACACTTTTTCTACATAATCTAGATCTGCTCATTAGTTTATAGCCCTTATGCATATGATATGAGGAAACTGGTTAACAGTAATATTTGTGGAGAAAGCCAGAGATTTCATAATAAGAAAGGTCTATGACCCTGGAGAGGAGATGCATGTTAGGGACAGAGGCATTTAGGTTAGTATTGATCTTAAATAATTAAAACTAAAGGTGCTTACAAGACAGAGTTTTATTTAATTTTTTTTGAAGTGTGAGAATAAAGCAATTACATTTGTTTGTAAGTATTGCAGTGCCAGATTTCAAGTCCAGACCGTGACTGGCAAACATGTGTTGTTCATTCTGTTCTGTTTATTTATGTTTTGCATGAGGCATAAATGTGCTATGCGCCATTGTCCATCTGGAATAATTAAGCACCCCTTTTGTTAATTATCTCGCCTCAGCAAGGATCTATGATACACAGTTCTAGCCTGACCCATCAGAAGTCCTGAAATGTGCACCAGCTGGGGAAAAAAAGTATAGAAGAGATCCCAATGGGAGGCTTAGATATGTTGAGCTGGAGTCTAACCCCGGTCCTGCAGGTTTCACGCGGGTGGGACTCCCGTGTTTGTAATAAATGCTCCAACTAACCTCTTAGTGCACGCGTGAGAGGGACGAGTATGCCGGCCGAAGGGAATGTCCCAGCTGAAGTCTGAATGTCTCAGATACTGAAGTTTGAGCATATGTCATATAGGTTTTTGTAGGGCATAAAATATCATAAATAATGATAGTATAGTTATAAATATTGCCTGGTGATAATTATAATGTGGAGTGGCAGACAAGTATGGTCATGGCTCTTAGTGGAGAAAACTTCATGGGGAAAATTTGCCAGGGTAATATCAGTAATTATAGGGTGTGTTCAGAATGGGGCTCATGGGGAAAGATTGGCAGGATAGGCACTTTCTTAAATAAATACCTTTAATATATTGACCATAATAGCCGAAAACAAGTCCCAAGCATTGGTTAATCCGACTCCTCCAGGCTGAGGGCTGGAACCCGGCCAGCGCTGCCAACTCTCCGTGGGGCTTGGCACCTTCCGTGGGAGCGCGGGGCTCCGGGACCCCCATCGTGGGGGGGAGGCCAGCCTGGGGCCCCCGTGGCTGCAGCACCTGGGGAGGGGGCAGCACCCCGGCCTCAGCGGGGGTCCTGCTGGGAGCCCCCGGATGGCTTCTGCACCTCCAGTGGCAGAGAACGGTCCTCGTGTCCCGGAGGGGTGGGTGGCCAGGAGCAGGTGACAGGTCCAGGGGAAGACATCAGATCACGGAAGCGTGGGCCAAGCATGTTAGAGGTTTTTTGAAAAAGAGAAGTTTTATCTCTGAGATAAGTGCGTGCACTTCCACTCTGCGGGGAAGAGGAAGGTGCTGGGGGAGCAGGCTGTGTGCAGGGCAGGAGGGCAAAGCGCAGACCCAAGGCCAACCCTTCCCGCTGTCTGCCGCACACACGGCCCTCGGGGAGCGAAGGGACCGGTGCCTCTGTGAGGATGCGGGGGTGATGGTCCCTCCGTGCAGGTTCCCCTCTCCTCCGTGCACGGTGGCACCCGAACCGCAGGCAGCCGTGCCCATGGAGATGGGTCTGTCGCAGGCGCGTGCTTTTGCTAGCGACCGTTCTCACTTTCTGACAGGGGTGTGGATTTTCAGTTGAAGGCTGTGAGCCCCTGGATATGTTTTGAAATTGGAAGAATTTTATTTTCTTACCCATCCCCTTCAATTATTTTTCCCTTTCCTTGTGTATCAAAATAAATAACAATTTCCTTTCTCTCTGCATGGTAGAAAACATCTGTAAGGAACTCAGGTGATCCTCACTGCTTGCAGGGCAGAAGGCGAGCAGATTTCATATGGCACATTATAAACATTTGTCACCTCTGATGTCAATGGATTCATCAAGTTTTTCTCCCCACCCTTCTGCTGTGCTCGTTTAGAGTCATAGAAAAGCATCTTCACCACCTCAAACATGCCGGGTTTGTAGACTCTACACATAGGCACAGCCTTGCTTCATCCCTCATTACTGGCAGGATCAAAATAGTGTTTGTAGTGTTTACAGGGACTTACACGAGAACTAGAATGTGACCTACAGTTTGGAGAACTGCCTTGTCCCAACTCTACCTCTGCTTCTGGGCTGGATGTTGAAAAAAGCCAATCCATTTCCAAGGAGAGAATCAGACCTCCCATTTGATAGCTGAAGTAACCGTAATCTTTTGCTGATTTCTTGGATGACTGTTTGCCACCTTTTTTAAAATTTTTTTTCATTGCTTGTACATGCCATCTCCTCTTCCCGTGGTGTGATGATGCCTTAGCTGTTTGTTCCCGCATATTCTGCCACCTCTGGTGCCACGTGCGTGGCACCGTCAGGCCCTGTGGTGTGGGGAACGTTTCCCGTGCCACTGTGGGTTGCTGCTGGTCAAGGGAAGGAATGCATAGCCAATGATTTCCAGCGGACCCGTTATATCTGGCAAAGGCCAAAGTTCATTAAAGCAAAATAAATGTCACTTTTTTTTTGTGGAGTGAATTATCCTGCTGGAGTGTGATCATTGTGGTTTTAACCTGGGACCTGCAGTAAAAGATTATACAGCAACCTCTGACCTTTTTGATTTCTGCTTTACTCTTCTATTGTCAAGGGAAATGTTACCGATCAGGTGAAAGTAAAATGTTTAATGGGCCATATCACAGTAATATCTTACACTGAGTCAAATTGATAAACTCCTGCCAAAAATTCTTAGCATCTGGCACTTCCATGGAAACCGCAAACAATGATTGCACATATGGGAGCTTGAAGGCTAGAGGTCATGACAGCAGTTTATTACATGCACCTTACAGTGATCATTTTCCCTAGGAAATTAACCCCTCTCTAACATAAATGCATCAAGTGAATTCTTCACGGTGTTTCAGTCGTGTTGCTTTGGCTAAGCAAGGAATGCACGTTAAGCTAAAGTGGTGACAAGATGCAATTAAGTAAAAGATGATTGATTAGGTTTCAGTGTTTGCTCAACGATGTTTAAAAAAGGTGATTGTGAGATCAGAATGAACGGGCTCGGTACCAGCTTCCTTAGAAGTCTTGATTGCGCAGTTACCAGGTCTGTGGTGGTGGCACATGGAGATTTCCCGGCATTCGGACATGGTTCCTGTGCAGCCTGGTCCTCAGTCCCGCTGCCGGCCTCTCGGTTGAGCAGCCGCAGTTTCCACAGCACGGCTGGTTGTCTAGGGGACGGCTCCTGCCATGCGCTGCTGCTCTCAGCCCCCTGGTTACCGCAGCACCATGGGTTAAACTCTGTTGTAAGCAGTCAGGGGCTGGTGGTGAACGTGTTCCGCAGTCACAACGTGGAAGACAATTCTGTTGCTGTTAGGTGTGGTGGCTGCAGTCACCACGACCGAGACACCATCCTGGGCATTTTGATCTCCTTTCCTTCTTTAAACTCTGCCATCAAAAACATGCAGGTCACTTGGCTCAGCTGCTGCTAACGGTGCCCGAGATGCTGCCCACGTTAGTCTCACGGTAGCTGCTGAGTGGATTTTCCAGACCCACCCCACCCAAGCTGGATGAGTGTTTCCAGGTCCTTTGGAGGGGTCATTGCTGCTTCGGCCACCTCGCTGTGCCGTCACTGCGTGGGGAAGGTTCTACATGCCAGCAGACTTCTAGGGATGACGTGAACCCACTTACCTCTTCCCACGGTGCTCAGGACTCCCTTCCGCTTTCCTTAAGTAGTAGAAGTCTGTCCCAAGCCACCGCCCCAGGGCACCCCGCTCTGTGATGCTGCTGGGGATGCTGCAGGTGGGGCTTTGCGAGAGCACTGCTTTGAACCCTGTCCTCATAATTCTGGTTGTCCCCAAAAGTCACTAGGAATTAACAGCAGAATCGAGGAGGAAGGGAAGGGTTCTCACAAGCCTGGAGCTTCGTCACAGCAGTGAAAGGACAGGGAGGTGGAGGGGTGACCGCGCACATCACAGCCATGGGACCTGGAGCCCCAGTACCCCAGGTCTCCAGTGCTCAGGGCAGTGCTTTACGCAGTCCCGTGCCCAAAGCACAGCACGCGTTTCTGAGCAGCAGACACTCCCTGTGTGTGCGGGTCTATCTCCAGCCCACCCTCCCCGCCACGGTGGCAGGGGACAGCCAGCCACCCCCCCACAGCGCAGCCAGGGCTTCGGGCACCTGTGCTCTCCGGGTAGGGGGGTACCTGGGCACTTGCTTACCTCTTGGCAGGTACCTGAAGTCTTTTGGCTTAGGTGGGATTTAAGCACAGTCTTGCTCGTTTGAGGCCGGTCTGAATAAGCTGACGACTGTTTGCCCTCAAGGACGCAGGGTGGTCCCCGTGGGTCTGTACCCCCTGTTCCTGCTCAGCAGTGGCTGTGAAGGGACTGCCAGATACTTTGCATTGGGAACTCTGTTTTTAAGTGAACACCCTCTTTTTTAGCTGTGTATGGCTGTATTACTTGTATATTTATATATTCTGTATTTATGTTATCGAAATGTAGTATTTTGTAGCTGTCTGTTACAATTTGTTTAACTTGTACAAAATATGACTATGCTCTCTCACACTTAACCAGCCGCCTCTCACCGTAGATTCTCTGCTCCTTTCCCTCTGTGTTGGTAACAAACCACCATAATGTATGTAGATCAGATTTTTTTTTTTATTTAATTACTTGTCATTGTTAAATTATTTATTAGTGTTTTTAAATTTCATTTCACTGCATTATTTTTTTTCCTGCCACCATTGCCTGGCAGCTAAGATCCATGAGTTTCTCGTACATTGTGCTTCTTCCCACGTGCACACACGTG